AATGTGGGTGCAACCCCCGTCGAGATCAGACAAGAGATGAGATATCTCGGTCTGATACTCGACGGCCGATGGAGTTTCACGAGCCACCTTGCCGGTGATGCGAAAAGGGCAGGGGGGAGGGCGGCAAAGTTAGGTCGTCTCCTCCCAACCTGGGCGGCCCAGACGGCAGGGTTCGTCGGTTGTACGCGAACACCGTCAAGTCGGTAGCGCTCTACGGGGCCCCTGTTTGGGCCCCACGGCTCGCGGCATCGAGGCACGCGCGCGCCAGCATGGCCCGCGCCTTTCGCCCGATTGCCGCGAGGATATGTAGGGCCTACCGGACGGTGGCGTACAACGCGGCGGCGGTGATCGCCGGCCTCCCCCCGATGGAGTACGCGGCAGAGGAACATTACAATATGTTCCTCGAAAGCCACGACTCCGAGGGGAGGCCGATTAGATGGACGGCGAACCACCGTGCTCGGAGGCGACTCCAGCACCGGCAGCGCGCAATCGCCAAATGGCGAGAGGCGTTAGTAGCCTCGGGGGACACTACCCCGGGGCTCCGCGTCGTCGGTACAATCGGGCCCCTCCTCGACCAGTGGGTCGATAGAGGATGGGGCGGGTTGTCCTTCCGAATGACGCAGGTGCTGACTGGGCATGGCTGCTTTGGTCACTACCTGTGTCGTATCGGAAGGGAGCAGAACTCCGGCTGCCACCACTGTGCGGCCGAAGACGACACCGCCCAGCACACGCTGGGCGAGTGTCCGGCGTGGGCGGGAGAGCGGGAGGCGCTCACCCGTATTGTGGGGCAGGACCTCTCCCTTCCAGCGGTGATCACCGCGATACTGGAAGAGGAGAGGTCCTGGCACGCGTTTGCCTCCTTCTGCGAGAAGGTCATCTCGCAGAAGGAGGCAGCGGAGCGGGAGAGGAGGGGGCAAGTCCCTCGTCCTCGCCCGCAACAGCAGCGGCGGCAGCAGCGCCGGGCTCGGGGAAGACATCCCCGGGCTCGGCCTGCTCGGCCCGCCGTGGGGAATGGGGTGGGAGCTGAGCCAGACGGGGGGAGAGCTGACGGGGAAGCGTTATCTCTCCCGGCCTCCCCTCCTATGACGCGGAGCCGGGCGAGGATGTTACTCGCCCGTGCTCCCGCTTCCACCCCACCCCCTACTCCGCCGCCCACACCACCGCCCTGACGGGCGGGGGAGGGGATGCCCGCAAGTCGCGGGTAAGTCCCCTCCCCTCGTAGTGGGCGGAACACCGCCGAGGCGGTTAGGAGAAGGCCCTCCCCCAATGTTAACGGGGGAGGCGGCCTGGGACTGGCGGGCTGGGACTCCCGCCAGTCCCTGCCTCCACGGAGGCGGGCGGTAGAGGTCGTGGACGCCTCTGCCGCCCAAAAGAGTAGTGGACTCCCCCTGCGGGGGGGAGTCCCCCTCCCCCACACCATCGGGGG